CCGGGGGCGAGCGCGGCTCCCGTGACCTCCGCGGCGCTGCCCCGGCCCGGCCCGGCCCGGCCCGGCCGCCTGCGGGAGTTCCCGCCCGAGGGGGCCCGGCCCTCGCCCGGCTCGTGTGGCGCTGCCGCCGGACACTCGGCAGGGACGTGCTGCGGACACTCACTAAGTCAGTCGGGCTGGGAAAGACCCCTGAGATCAGCGAGTCCAGCCTGTGACCCAGCACCACCCTGTCRACCAGACCATGGCACTGAGTGCCGCGTCTCTTTCCTCAAACACCTCCGGGGCTGGTGACTGCACCACCTTCTCGGGCAGCCCTTTCCAATGCCCAGYCACCCTTTCTGTGAAGGAATTTCTTCGAATGTCCAACATAAACCTCTCCTGGCACAGCTTAAGGCTTAAAGCTGGGAAGGTGTTGGGGTTGCRGAGCCCCAGAAGAGAGAGGACATTCTGGGAGATGGCTGTGCCTAGGCTAAGCTGTGGGGCTTGTCAGTGACTGGTAGCCTGCAAGGGTCTGTCTGGAATATGAAATTTTTTGTTGAATTGCGTTTAAAATCTTTGGTGAAACTCTGAGTATATGGTTATTRTAACAGATAAGTCTATGCAGGATTTTGGTCAAAGAACCAGAATGATTTTACTCCAAGTTTCATTGCTTCATAGTTTCTGTCATGTCTTTTTCTCAGAAATGAAATCCAGACATTCTTTTATTATTTTATTTAACTAATAAATTAAACTTCAATATGCTTCAGTTAAACTTCAGTGTGCTAAATACTGGAAACTTTTGGGCTCTGTATTATGCAAATGTCTTGTTTGAACGTACAGCATTTTTGGTCTACTACCATGGGTCTTTGTCTGGAGATAGCTGTTTAAAGTTCTGCTTTGGACTTGCTGGTAATAYCTTTAAAAACAATATTGTTTTCATTTAAGCAAAGAACGTGAAGTGACCAGGGATATTTTAATCTTCTTTCTTTTTTCAATGCAACTGTGTTGTAAAGGCAGCACTGACATACACTGGTTCAAAAATTCCTGAACTAGTTTTTCTTTACATGTCTTGTTTGTATTTTTTTAATCAAGATGTGTTAAAGCCCATAGATGGCCTTTTCTATAGCCTGGACATCCGTGTTGTAAATGTTGCATAATGTCTTTGTGTCTTCTTTCCTAAGTCTGTCTTTAATGGCTGTGTCACTTTTAAAATGGGTTACTTAAGAAACCTGATTTTTCCTTATTTCAGGCTGTAGAGGAGCACAAGTTGAAGAAATATGGAGCTTGGAGCCRGAGAACTTTGAAAAATTGAAGTAAGGCACATGGTTTTTATTCACATTTGTCTGAAGTCCCTGGAAGAATGTGAACTAAACTCAGGTGGATTTTTGTCTGAGGTGTTTTGTGTTTGTGTTTTTTACTTCAATTTCTACAGAAATTCAGTAAGATTTTGATTTAATAGAACACCTGACAATTAAATTGCTTTTTATTAGTGCTTTGATACTTAATCTAGCCTAATCAAATTTTGAAAGACATGTTGATAGTAGCTAGAATGTGGAAATAGATTTCTAATGATTTTGCCATTAGCTTGCAATTATATCTTTTGACAACTTCTTTGACAAATTTCTGTTCCTTGCTTTATCTCCCTTTTTTTCACATCACATGATGTTGCGTCTGTTGTCTTAAATTAATTTCCTGTATTTAGATGCCTTTGTAACTCGTTTTTCCTGCAGAACCACTTTCATATGTATGTGAAGGCAAATAGGCTCTTTATAACTGACAGTGACTGGTCTCATGTGGAACAGTTCTGCCCTCGTTAGGCCACATTTATTTTTTAACATTTTGTCCATGATGTGTTATCCATGTTAACATACAGGATTTTAAAGAGGAAAACGTCATTTAACCTGTATCTTGTGCGAATATTCTTTCTCTGCTTGTAGGATTAATCTTCCAAAAGGTGCAGCAGTTGGTACAGASGATGTACTTTTAGCATTTTTGACAGAAGATATTTGACAAGAAACACCCGATTGGCAGAAATGTTGCCTAAGAAGCTTTTTATTTGTTGTCTGCACCATCAGCAAACTTTACTTGTTTGTTCATAAAGTGACAGCGTGGCCTGTCCTGCATATTTTTCTAGTCCTGAATGATGGCCAGCTTCCTTCYTCCTTTCCATCTCCACCTGCAATATTTTCCACAATGTATAAACACTGAGAGTTAAAGCATATGACTTTAAATTTAGGCTGATGAGTAAGTGTCTGTTTTAATGTAGCTGTAGGTTTTGTAAGAACTATTTCCTTTACTGATATATTTTTGTGTTCTGGGAATACTAAATACAGTGTAACATGCAATAAAATATTTGCAATTTTTGTTTTTTGTTTGCTATGCAGTCTGAAAGGAAAGACACATTTTTACTGGAAGAGAAAACTGACTTTCTCTTAGTTGTTGGTGAGATAACTCAAAGTGAAGTTTTACAAGAGCTCCTCTTTGGAAGTTTCATCTGTGTCTAGAAGGATTAGCAAAACTGTGGGTCCTGCTCTTGTATRTGATGGACAAATGCTTTGACCAAATGCTATTTCTCACTAACCAATTCAAGTGAGAGTTGTGCAACTGTGTAAGCTGCAGTAACCAGAAAACTGGTCCTGACTAATGAGAGCTACATGCGAAATGCTAATTCAGATTGGGATTGTTCAGCACATGCAGAAAGAAGCCTGAATTGTCTTCTGCCCAATTAAAAGAGCCTGTGTGAAAATTTCAGTGCAAGATCCTGATATTTGCAAAGAATTAACAGAATTACCATACCAGTGTACGGCTAAACTACAGTACAGATAATTTTGATATTTTTCATCAATACAAGTGACCTTTTTCCTATAAATTTTGTTTTTCAGGCCAGTACATGGGCTGATTTTTCTCTTCAAGTGGCAGCCTGGAGAAGAGCCAGCGGGTTCTGTTGTCCAGGATTCCAGACTGGATACAATATTTTTTGCTAAGCAGGTATGACAAATTCAGTAATTGTTTTAGATATGTCACCAAATGTAGCTTTTAATTAATCATGATAATTTAATCAAAATTATCTCTTTGTTAATATGCACACAAAAATTAACATTTTACAAGGTGAGATAACTTAAACAAATTCTGAGAATGGGAGCTGTGTATTGAAAGGTGGTTAACAAAGCAAATCGTTTGATCTGTCAAGTTAGACACAAATAGCAGTTATGGAAGAGTAAAGCTGTTGCTTATTTGTCAGCTCTTATCCAGAAAGTAACTCAATGTTCTGTGCAATAAATAGTGACTTGGTAAATGTTCTCAGCAGAATGAGCAAATTACTTCTTTTGAAACCACTTTCAACAACTTCTTGAAAGAAATTAATTTTGGTCCTGTTTTTATTTCTTGTTTTTCTCAAATGCTCTGAAGCTGGGGTGGTATATCTAGGATAATGCTTTCCTTTAAGGGTTTGCAGACCATTTTGGTGTGCAGGTTTTAAGAATTAAWTCAGAAAGGTGAGTTTAAATTAGAAATTACAGGGAAAATTGGTTTTCCTGGTGTAATCCTTGTGCTTTATTAAATACAGAGTAGTGCTGAAGTTTTGTTGTAGAACTAACAGAGTGCTGTGCATGTTGTTTGCAAGAAAGAAAAGCAAGAGAAAGTAACCAGAATGAAAGTAGGAGTGTTTTTAGAGTCTTTCTGAGACCTGCTTCCAAAACAGTGATAAATGTAACAGTCTAAACAAGAAATGTAACCCTACGTGTACTAATTACAAAGCCTTGATATCAAAGGGCAAATTATTAGGGTTTCTGTGAGGATTGTTACATAGTCTAGTTGTGGGGGTGTTTAGGGTGGGGTTTTTTGGGGGTTTATTTGGCTGGGTTTTTTGATGTTTTATTTTCCACTACAAATGCAGAAGTGTTTTGGATATGCTGAAGTTTATATAAAAAAATCTCCACACACTTCCAGGTAAAAGTACAGGAATGTGGAAAACAATGCAAATAGCTGTCCTGGCCACTCCGTACTTGAGCTTCTGTTTTGCCCCTTTTATAATCACCTTGCTGTTTCGTGCTGTTGAGGATCAGCTTTTTCAATGCTGTTTCTCTTCATTCTTCCCCTGCTGCAGCTCTTGAGTCCTGCTCACTATTTTTATGATACAGTGATCAGCAGTTTGYCAATTTAATACCTCTCCTAGACACTGCTCTAGGTTGTGATGTCTGCCTAATCCAACCTACTGTTAGTGGTCATGGGCTATAGCTACAGTACAGCCATGAGGCAAAGAAGTCAGGGAAACTCCTT